TGCATTATATAGGTGTGTGCATTTGTCGAAGCTCAGTAAATTTGAGATACTCAAGATTTATGTCTTAAAAAACTAAGCAAATACTGAACTCTAGTTAATTAAATGCATGCTGTAGTGTTTAAAGAAGCATACTATTATCTGCAACTTTATATAAATCAAAAACTGTTAATTCTTTAACCTCACTATACTTTGAAATTCTCTATAAAAAAAATGTTGGGGGGGTGGTATTTAAATGTTACCCATTTCCTTGTTGGGATAATTTTAAGTATATCTTAAAACCCAACAATTCTACTTGTAGCCTAGATAAACTTTCCTTGTGCTCCGGAAATGTTCACAGCAACACTTCCCATAATAGAGAAAAAAAAAAAAAAAGTAAAACAATTGAAAAATCCATCAAGTAGACTGAAGCAAGAGATTGTGGTTTAAATATTAATTTAAAAAGGTAAGTCACAAAATATACAAATGTTAACACTTTATATAGTTAAAAGAACAAGTAAAACTAAACACTAGGGATAATACAAATGGGTAGACTACGAAATAAAACAAGGAGTAATAATAAAAGTTTTCAGGATAACAGAGGGACAATGCGGGAAAACTGAATTAAGCAGTGGCAGAGAGGTGACTTCAACAGACTGGTATTCTAGTTATTAATTCAAGCAGTGATTTCATGAATGTTTTTATGCTTATAATTCACTTTTGCATACTATAATCTCTTAATGTTTAGTATATTCTGGAATTCAAAATGAGAGAAGAGGGCTGTCTCATCAGGACACTCAAAAAACTTAGGCTCTAAGATAATTATACACAATATTTACAACTATTTGAGATATATGTAAGACTACAGTTCCTTACTTAAATCTACACTGGTCTTACCTTGGGACAGAATGTTTCCAAATGCAGAATGTTTTGGATTTTAGAAGGGTAATAAAGTACATATACCATATATAGTAAAGTCATAAAAACCCTCTTGGGTATCTGAGGCAGCATCCTGAAAGCAAATAAAGTAATACATTTCTCCACAGAAAAATATTACTATCTACACCAAAAGGGGTCAAACTGACTAGATTCTAACATCAGATCATGTTGAACTTTATCAATAAAGTTGTACCAAAACCTTGGTTTTCCGAGTTCTTTCTGTATCAGAATTGTAGCTAAAGGGTGGTGGATTTGTATTTTCAATGAGGTTCAAGTTCATCTAAATAGTAGGTTCCTGACATTGTGTAACCCTCCCTAACTCATTTTCTTTAAATATTTCCAGACCAAAATGCAGGTTTTAGGGCTTCCCAGGGGGCACAAGGGGTTAAGACACAACCTATGACACTATCCGCAGCCAGTGCAGCATGAGTTCAATCCCCGGCCGGCCAGGGAGCTACCCACATGGCACAGCAGACCTCTCCTGCCTCGCCCGCTGCTCCCCTCAGCAGTGTATTTCAGTCAGCCTGCCTGTTCTGCTCCCCACTCTGTCTCTGGTGAATCCTCTCACCCCCCACACCTCTGGCCTGTACCCAGTTCTTGTATGCATAAATAATCTTTTAAAAAAAAATGCAGGTTTTATTTAAAGTAATCCTATTTATGCCACAAATACCCAAGCACGCCGAAAAAGCATGTGTGATGTTATTTTTTCAATATTTATTCTATTTCATTTTTATGTCTTTATAATATTCACACTTATTACACAGTGGGAAAAACATATATACTATTTTGTTTTAATCAGGCAAGTAACCAGCACCAAACTGAAAGAGGCTAAAGCACTGGTTAAGTATTGTCATAAAGGGCCTCCCCGGTGGCACAGCGGTTGCGCGCTGGGCTGCAAAGCTGCGCGCGGCCTCTGCAGCGCCCGTTTGATCCCCAGCTGCTCCGGGGCCACCAGAGGAGGGTCCCATGTGGCGTGCAGACCCGCTGCTCCCCTCAGCAGTGTATTTCGGTCCTTCTGCCTGCTCTGCTCCCCGCTCTGGTGAATTCCCTCACCCTGCCGCGCTTCTGACCGTACCCGGTGCTTGTATAAATAAATAAATAAATAAATAAATCTTTAAAAAAAAATTCTAGAAACCACAGTTTAAAAAAAAAAAAAAACTATTGTCATAAAGTTCACAGGTATAGAAAAATCAATCAATAAAACACTTTCGCATTCTAAGTCATTTTACATCATAAATTTTTAATCACCTTTCCCCATCAACCTGAATCCCACAGGTTATTGTAAGCATTTACTCTTTAAAAAGCAAAGACTAAAAACCCTAAAGCACAAACCTTCAGAAAGATACGAAAATACAATTCTTTTGACCATAATATTCAGCAGGAGAAGTTGAATCTTGACAAAGCCTTCGGGCTGACCCAAAGCTTCAATCGCTGCAAAGACCATGGAAGGCCCTCCCTACTCCCAACAAAGGATTACAGAAGCAAACCTCTCTCAAAACTCTATTTTTAAATAATACCAAAGCACTCACAATCTGCAACCACAAAAGAAATATATTATCTTCAGACTAATTTAAGGACCTACTTAAAGCAAGGAGCCTCTGCAGAGAAAAAAGACAATAAAGTCTATACTGTTACAGTCTTGGAATCCAGCTGTCGGTGCCAGATTTCTACCATTTTTCTGACAGCAAATTCAAAAGATAATGCTGCACATTCAAATTATATGGCAAGAAACAGTGGCCAGTAAAACCACTTTCCTTTTCAAAGAAAGTTTAAAGTAATTAACTAAAAATATGCTTAGCCCATAGAAATAAGCTAAATTTAATGAGCACTACACTGCACCAAGCACTGAGCTAAGTAAGCACTGTACATGTTGTCTCATAAAACATTTTTTTCATACAAATGTATTTTTTGCCATCTAGTCCTAATCTTCTAGAAAATAACTAAACAGTAATTCCTGGTGTATTCCATCTTCTTACTTTTGTCATCTTAGGCAGTAGACCAACTTTAAATGGGTCTTTCTGAGCGCCTCAACGAAGCAGTAAGATGCAAGATGTCTTTATAAGACTAAGTTTTCTCTGTTAAGGAATATTTTCTACAGTAAAACTAAAATTAAAATGCCATCGGCAGTAAGACAATGACCGACTGTGACATGCAGGCTAAATGATAAGGTTTCAAATCTTTAAAGTGATGCCAGTCATTATTTCATCAGTATTTCAGGAAATATGTTTTTCTCACACTCTGAAAGATTAACTCACAGCGTTTCCATTTTCCATCCATGGAAAGATGGGAAAGTTCTGGTGATGGCCGCACAAGAACGCGAAAATTAATGCCATTGAACTGTGCACTTAAAAATGGTTTCAAAAGTGAATTTCATATTACAGGGATAGTACCACAACAAAAAATAGTTCATTCTAATATATGTAGTAAATTATAAGTATATGTAATTTAAAACTAGTTAAGGCTTTGTTTCACCTCATCAATTTGCAGTAGAAGCACCTGCAATCTCGCTCTAAAGAAAAGACTTAAGGTGCAATTAGTAATATTTACTGCAACTCAGAACCGCTTTATTTAATCAACTAAAATCTTCACAAAAGTCGGTCCACTTGGCAACATCTGATATCAACTCTCATACCAGGAACACATCACTCTAAGAAAAGTACAAAGTGTCTTCACTGTATTAGCCACTCAATAAATGAAAGGATCAAATTGTTTACTGAGCACGTGCCAAGTTTCATTTTTAAAACCAGCCTTCCTCTTAATTTCGGGAATACTTTAATCAAACAGAAGGTGTGGCCACGCTGCACGTATATACACATTCTTGAGGGTCAAGTTCAGAACCCCCTCAACAACCATGACCGACCCTACTGGAGACCCACGAGACGAAAGTGTGAAACATGTCCCCGTACCCCGACCAGGACCCGACGAAGACCCGAGAGGTGCTGCTCTATTTTTAACTGAACTCTCTGGCCGTAGGTCAGAGTCTCGCTAGCAAAATACCAAAGTGAAAATGCCGGGAGGGCAGCCAGTCTCCGCGCCAGCCCAGCAGCTCTGCCCCGCGCGCGGCCGCCCCACCCCAGCGGCAGGCTCCGGGACTCGGGGCGTCCCGCCTCCGACACCCCCCGCCGCCCCCGCGCCTCCGGGACGCGCCCGCGCCTCGGCCTCGCCGTCAGTTCCTGCCCTTTGGCCGAACTGAGTCACCGCGCCGCGATCCCGAACCTCAGAGCAGCCCCACGGCAGAGCCGGGCGGCCCGGAGAGGGAGGAGACGCCGCGCCCGCAGCGCACCCGCCGGGCGCCTCCAGCGGGCGCAGCAGGGCCGACCGCGGTGGGGCCGTCCGGGGCCCGGGACGCCCGCTCAGGCGCAGCCCGCGGGGGGCACCACCCGGGCCGCCTCCGCGCCCCCAGCCGGAGCCCGCGCCCTCCGCTCCCACGGGGCGTCCCGACCCACATCCAGCCGCTGTCCGCGCAGCGCACGCGCCCGCCCCGACAAAACAAGCCCGCGCGGCCCTCGGGAACCCGTCTCGTTTCCAAAACGGTCTCGTTTCCAAAAGGCCGCCGACGAGCAGCCCTTCCGCGGCGGTGAGCGCGGGTTGCAAAGGTCGTGGAGGCCCGAGCCGCGACGGGCGCGGCGCCCCCTCCCCGCCCACGGCCCCGGCGCCCCGCCGCAGCCCCCGAGGCGCCCGTGCGGAGACGAGAGCGCCCCCGACCCTCCCAACCCCGAGCGGGAAACTCCGCGCGCGTCCGGACCGCAGACCCGGGGCGCGGGCGGCTCCAGGTCACGCGCCCCAGGTGGGGCTCCGGGAGGGGCGGCTCGGGGTCCTCCCCGGGCCCCGCGTCCCCCGGCAGGACACGCGCGGGGCGCGTCGGGGGCTCGGAGCGCGGCCCCCGCCTCCCGGGCCGGGGGAGGCGGGCCGGGGAGGGGGCCTCCTCCCGGCGCTCCGGGAAGGGGCGCCCGGATCGGCTCCGGCCCGGGGCCCGGCGGCGGAGGGCGGGTCTCGCGGACCCCGCGCGCGGGGCTGCCGGAAGCCGCGAGCGGGCGCCGCGGCCGGGCGGGCCAGGTCCCGGGGGGCGCGGGCGCGGCACCTACCAGCAGGCTCTCCACGTTGATGGGCGAGCGCGGGTCGCGGATCAGCGCCTCCAGCTTCCTCTGGCGGCTCGCGCCCGCCCCGTCCCCCGGCGCGGCCTCGGGGCGCCGGGCATCTTCCCCGCCGGCGCGGGTCGGCTCATGCCGCCGCCCGGGCCGCGCTCCGCTCCGCGCTCCGGCCCGGCCGCCGCGAGGCCTAGCGCCGCCCCAGAGCCGCGGCCCGGGCGGGGCTCGGCCCGGGCCCACCGCCCGCCTCCCGCGGCGGCTGCGGGGCTCCACGCGGGCCCCGGGCCTGGGGCGGTCCGGGGCCGCCGGCCGGCGCGAGCGGCGAGGCGCCGCCGGTCCCCGCCCCTCAGGCCGGTCCGCGCCGCCGGGTGCGCCGACCGCCGCGAGCTCCCTCAGGACTCGGGCGGGAGCCGGACGGGGCGCCGCCACCCCGGCGCGGGGCAGGGCCGCCCCGCCCTCTGGGGCCCCGGGAGGCTGCAGCCCAGGCCGGGCCCGCTACGGCCGCCGCCGGCCGGCTCCCATGCTCGCCCGCCGCCCGCGCCCCGCCGCCGCCCGCGCCCTCACACTCCGCGCGGCGCCCGTGTCCGGCCGCGCGCCGCCGCTACCCACAAGCCCCTCCGCGCGCCGCCGCGAGCGCGCCGCCGCCAGCCCCGCCCCCGCGCCAGCCCCGCCCCGCGCCCGCCGCACGCCCCGCCCCCGCACGCCCCGCCGCGCCCCCGCGCCCCGGCCGGCCCCTCCCCCTCTCCACTTTTTTTAAATTTATTTATGTATTTATTTATACATTTTTCGCGATTCCTCTTGTCTGCTCCGCGGCGCCTTTCTCCTTTTTGAGCCTCCTTCGCGCCCGCCCCCCCCGGGAGTCCTCGGGTGCGCGGCCCCCGGGGGGAGGGAAGGGGGCGCCCCCGCGCCCCCCCAGACCCGGCCGGGCGGCGACCCGCGGACTCGGAGGCCCCCTGCCCGCGCCCCCCGCCCCGGGCCCCCCGCCCGCGCCCCAGGGCCCCCGCCCCAAGCCCCCCGCCGGGAGGGGGAGTGAGGGGAGGGGAGGGGGGAGTGGGGGGGAGGGGCCGCCCCCCCGCGGGCCCTGACTCAGGGCGCAGCTATGCGGCCTCGGGCCTCCCGGCGACCGGCGGCCGCTGCCCGCGCCTGCGGGGCTCCGCCCGGGCCCGGGGCCTGGGGGCCTCGAAGCCCCCGACCCTCCGGGGGGCGCGCGGGGGGGCTGCGGGGGCCCGCGCTCGGACCCCAGGCCCGGCGGGACGTCCCGGGCGCGCCCCAGCGGGGCCGGGGAACAAGGCGCGACAGAAAACGCTTCCGTCCGCGGAGCTGACGGGGCCGCGCCTCCGGGGCCGGGGCGGGGGGGGGGGGGCGCCGGGGGGCGGGGCGGGCAGGGACGGGGGCCGCGCCTCTGGGGGCCGGGGGGGCCGGGGGGCCGGAACGGGGGCGGCGCCTCCGGGGGCCGGGGGGGACGGGGGGGCAGGGACGGGGGCCGTGCCTCGGGGGGGCGGGGAGCAGGGCCGGGGCCCGGGAGCCCGCGCCTCGGCGCGGTGACCCCACTCGGGGAAGCGCGTCTCCCAGGACACGGCCGGGCAGCGGGGCGGCCTCCGCGGGACGCGCGGCCGGGCCGTGCGGAGGGGCCTGAGGGCCACGACCCCGCCGGGGACGGTCGTCGGGCGCCCGCGGTCGTCCAGACTCGCCCGGCACGGTGGCGGCGGGGGGCCGGCAGGTACCCCCAGCGCCGAGCCCCTGAAATCTTGGCGAAGTTGAAAGTTGTGCTGGGAAAAGTTAATCGAAACAGCGAGTGGCTCGAGCACGCCGGGTCGGCTCTGTGCGCGCAGCGGCCCGGGCAGGAGGAGAGCACAGGCCACAACCGCGCGTGGACGGGAGTTTTTCCCTCTGTAAAGAGGCTGAAGAACAGGAAAATTTTAAAACTTGAAACCTACTTTTTGCCCCCAAAATAATCCGGAGCGGATGAACATATTTTAGCAATAGGAGGGGATGACCCGCTCCTAAAATCTGTTAGTCACTGAGTAGTAGGAATCTTTTTTTTTTTTAAGATTTATGTTATTATTTATGCAAGCACCGGGGACAGTCAGAAGCGCGGGAGGGTGAGAGGATCCACCAGAGCCAGAGCGGGGAGCAGAGCAGGCAGAAGGACCGAAGGACACTGCTGAGGGGAGCAGCGGGCAGCAGGAGAGGTCTGCGCGCCATGCGGGACCCTCCGGTGGCCGGGGAGCAGCCGGGGATCGAACCGGCGCCGCGGAGGCCTCGGGCAGCTTCGCAAACCCTGTGCTCAGCCAGTGCGCCATGGGGGAGGCCCTGTAGTATCTTAACCTTTCTCGGGCATGTCAGAGATAAGGCCACAGTTAGGGAACGTAGCTCTAAAGCCTTAACTTTGCCAAAGTAGCATTTTAATCAGTGTTTCCAGACCCTCATCTTTTGTATTAGAGCCACTTTCACTTGGGTTTAGCCAGGAATAAACCCTGGTGAAGCCAATGCAGCTTTTTCTCTCAAATAATAACAGTAGCTTCTGGGCCAAAGGTAAGTCCTTTCATCTAGATGTTGAACGACTCAGTCACACCACCACAGACCTCACCAAGTGAGCCAGGCCCTTTTGTATGTGCACTGGAGCAAAATAATAAAATAATCAATGCTTATGGATTCTGGTTTGCAAGACAGTATAAAATGCAAAGCAAAAAGAACAAGAGTCCAGATAGTTTCACAATGACTGGTTCTGTGTTCTTATGGATCTTGGTAGGCCAACCATGCTTCTTCCCAAATGCTGGACGTTGAAACCTTACATAAAAAGGAAAAAGTGGCAATTGAGAGACATTTACTGGGCACCCCCTGAAGACCGTCATTTATATAGATTGTGTATGTATATGAGAATGGTTGAAGACCTTGAATGATAAGAGAATGTGTGTAGGAAGGTTGGGATAATAACTTTTCAAGTTACATTCTATTTCTGGTTTGTTTGAACCTTTACAAGAATGCATACATTTGTGTAATACACGTGTAAAAAGCCACAGAATAAAAAAATTTTATGAGGTCCTCCTTTGTCAACAAGAAGAAAAGAAGACTCCTTTGTTTATATGACCTAAATCTTTTTTTTTTTTTTTTTTTTTGACCAACACAGTTCTTGTTCTATCAACGTATTACACATTGGTAGTGATGCTCACTTCAGATGCAATCTAACTCCAGCCCCAGATCGGGCTGTCAAAAGGCCATTTTTTTCTGTCTTCCCATGTGGCACTTACTGATTTTAATGAAAAGGATTATGATTTGGTATAAGGACGTCTATGCACGAGGCAACGTGCTTTATAGAAAATACCTTCTCCAAACGCCTTTTGTTAATGGTTATGTTGTTCTGCCCATTTTACAGATGATGTAATGGGGACTCAGATATATGATAATGGCTGGACAGAGGGAAACAATGAAGCCACAGTGGCCTGGGCATCACCAATAAAACACACGACCTCTCTTCCCATCTTGTGTACTGCAGAATAACTCAAGCAGGTGTCGTAATGAGATGCTTCTGTCCCACAAAAGCCAAGGTTTAATAACAGAATAAAGACTGAACTCTCAACACTAAGGTGTCATTATTTTTGTAAACTCCACGACTATAAAGGGTCCAGAGTTTAATGGTTTATGAAATAGAAACTCACCCTAAGTTTCATTCGTGCCTCTGGTAATAACTCCCAGCATGAATAAGAAAATTGCTGAACCCCACTGTGAGTCAATTTCCTCATACACAAAACAGAAATAATGAAGCTTGGTTGTCATTAAGGCTCCTTAAGATCTCCAGATGAAAGATACTGTATGTGTCCAAGACAAGTTATTCACCAATATACTATGAAAGATTCTCAGAGAAAGGGTTGGGCAAGGTTTAAAGGATACTTGGAAATAAATGTAAGTCGCGCCACAGGGATTTACCTAGATATGTTTGAGAAAAGTGGTCCCAGTTATGCCTGGGCTCCTGGTAAGCTCAGCTTTGATTCTGGTCCTGCCAGCTTGGCAGGAGACCTGATGTCGCATCTGACCATTTCATTTTCCCCATAAGCGAAACATCGATAAAATTGGTCCACAAATCTTTTTTGGACGCTCTGTGATTATACTTGAAGTCCTTAGAGTGGAATCTGGGACCTTCTGTGCAGTGTCCACGATTTCCCTTTCCAGACACTTCTCTTTCTGCTTCTCCACTTCTTCTCAAGCTGGACAAACTCAGCTCTTCTCTTCCTCCCTCTCTGGTTAAGCCAATTTCACCCTGTGCTATGCCTCCTTCCTTCCCTTCTCCACTCACACTTGAACGCTTCCTTCACTCAAGATCTGATGACCTTTAATGAAAGGCTAACTCCTCCCGAGCACTGGAGGCCCTGTAACTTTTAACAATATATACAACAAGGCACTGTGTTTGTTTCCCTATCAGTGTTTTTAACATTCCCCTTATTGGATCTGCTGTGTGTCCAGAGCAAATCAGTGCTTCCCCATCGCTTACCATCATTACCGTATGAGGAGTGTTAGTCGCTAGTCCCTCTCCATACTTTGCTCCAGCACAACTGCACACGGTATAGGATGTCCTGCTCATGGAAAAGAACAGGTTCATGTCCTCACCTGTCCCCACTCTGGGCTTTGTGGGTGCCACTTCTCTTCCTGTCCCCTTTCTCCCTGCCCTCCCAGCATGGACCACTCTGGAAGGCAATCTCCTTCCAGGCCATTCCCTGTGTTCTCTTTTCCTTTTAAATTCAGCTGGAGCCTTGGCTAGTTCTTTGGTAGATACGTGAAGGAAGTGATCATGGGTTCTGCCTACACAGAGTTCGCGTCACACATTGTCCATCGAACAGGGAGGTACTCAGCGTTTGTTTGATGAATGGATACAAGAGAAAGCATTAATAATTATAATTCAAGAGAGGTAAGTGCTGGAAGAGATTGACAGATAATATGCCAAGAGAACGCTAAGGATCCTGGCATGAGAGGTGTCTTCTAGTGAAGGGTTTGGGAAAAGGAGGAAGCAAGGGACCTTGCTTGAGATTTAGACTCAGCTGGGTTTGGAAAGGGAAAGAGAGAACAGTCCTCTGGCTTCCAGGACAGCATGGGAACATAATAGGTAAATTAAAGGGAAAATAAGTAATGACTAAAGAACAGG